AATCCGTTGGAATTTCGTCGTTAGAAAACGGTGTCCGTTGGAAAACCGTTGGAATTTTCAACGGAATTTCAACGAATTTCCAACCGCAATCCGTTGGAATTTTCCAACGGATTTCCAACGGATTTATCGGTTGGAATTTTCCAACCGCCAACTTTGCAATTGTTGCTTCTAGCTCTTGAAAAGGGATGTCATAGATGTCACCCCCACATGCCGCATCGATCCATGATCGAGTGTCATCCTTTAATCCATGAATGAAGATAGATAGGAGGTAATCTCGTTCCATTCCATGGTGAGGGCACATCCTTTGGTATTCTTTAAATCGTTCCCATGCATCATGAAGATTCTCCCCATCCTCTTGTATAAAAGCATTGATCCGATTCCTTGCGTGTTGAGTTTTGGTGGGTGAATAGTATTGCATAAGGAACTGCTCCTCCATCTCGTCCCAAGATGAAATGGAGTTTGGCTCAAGAGTGTAGAGCCAATCTCTTGCTCTCTCCATGAGTGAGTATGGGAAAGCCTCAAGGAGCACATCTTCTGTGGTGATTCCCGGCCCTTTCTTTATCGCCTTACAATTCATCTTGAAATTGGTAAGGTGAGCATTTGGATCCTCATTGGGCCTACCCCGGAAACTCATGTTGTTGAGCATTTGGATGCATTGTCACTACAAAAAAATCAGCAAATTCCAACGAATTTTCCAACGGATTTATCCGTTGGAAATTTTTCAACGGATTTTCAACGGTTTTCAACGGCATTTCAACGGTGATTTCCGTTAAAAATCCGTTGAAAATTTCCAACGGATATCCGTTGGAATCGCCCGTTGGAAATTTTTAACGGAATTTTCAACGTATTCAATTGAAAAAATTAGGGTTGAAATTTTCCAACGGTATTTCCAACGGATTTTCAACCGACATCCGTTGGAATTCCGTTTGGAATTTTTTTTTTAAATCTCCAAAAAAATTTCCAACCGACATCCGTTGGAATTCCGTTGGATTTTTTTTAAAAAATTTCCAAAAAAAATTTCAACTGACATCCGTTGGAATTCCGTTGGAATTTTTTTTTTAAATTTCCAAAAAAAAATTCCAACGGATATCCGTTGGAAATACCGTTGGAAAATTTCAACCCTAATTTTTTCAATTGAATACGTTGAAAATTCCGTTAAAAATTTCCAACGGGCGATTCCAACGGATATCCGTTGGAAATTTTCAACGGATTTTTAACGGAAATCACCGTTGAAATGCCGTTGAAAACCGTTGAAAATCCGTTGAAAAATTTCCAACGGATAAATCCGTTGGAAAATTCGTTGGAATTTGCTGATTTTTTTGTAGTGGTCTGAGGGTGATATGATGTGTTCATCTTCAATTTCGTACCCAATGCTCCTTGTATCGCTTTCCATAGGCGAGATGTAAATCGAGCATCTCGATCAGATATGATCTCGCTCGGAACTCCGTGTAATCGTATGATTTCATCGACGTATATCTGTGCCAATCGCTCGATCGGGTACTCTTGTCTGATAGGGATGAAGTGAGCAGATTTCATTAGTCGGTCCACGACTACCCAAATGGAATTTTTCTTACTCGGAGTAAGTGGTAACCCAACCACAAAATCCATTGCGATGGAGTCTCATTTCCATTCCGGAATTTCCAACGATTGTAGTTTACCATCCGACATCTGTCGTTCTGCTTTCACTTGTTGATAGGTAAGGCATCTTGCTACGAAGTCGGCCACATCCCTCTTGATTCCCGACCAAGTGTACCACCATCGCAACCCTTAGTACATTTTGCTTGCCCCGGGATGTATGGCTAGTCTTGACTGATGTGCCTCTGATAATATCTCCCGTCTCAACTCCTGATCATCTCGCACACATAGTCGGTTACCCAGTCGCAATGCTCCCTTCTCATCGATACGGTAGCCTTTACGACTGTACTCCGCTATACCATCCATGTACCGAGTAAGTAAAGGATCGTCACGCTGTTCGGCGACCGCTCGTTCCGCAAAAGTTGGCGTTGGTTCTTCTGATGCCAAAGTTAAATGTCCCAACATTGCCGATAATTCAGCAACATCAATCCGAAAAGACGTCACCACACGAATGCAGTCAAAATCTTCTTCCGACTGAGAGCATCAACCACTACATTAGCCTTTCCCGAGTGATAGGCAATCTCCAAATCATACTCGGCAATGAGTTCCAGCCATCGCCGCCTCAGGTTCAGGTCCTTCTGAGAGATCACGTAGGTCAAACTCTTGTGATTTGTATTAAGCTTAACCTTCTCCCCATATAAATATGATCTCCAGATTTTCTAAGCATGTACTACCACTGCCAACTCCATGTCATGGGTGGAGTAGTTTTCATCATGCTTCTTCAGCTGTCTCGATGCGTAGGCGATGAGTGTCGCTTCTGCATCAACACACAGCCTAGTCCTTGTTTGGATGCATCGGTATACACTTCATACAGTACTCCCGAACGCGACAATGCCAAGATCGGTGCGAAGGAAAGTCTCCGTTTTAACTCCTGAAAACTTGCCTCGCATTCTATAGTCCATTCGAACTTGACATTCTTCCCGGTCAATTTGGTCATGGGTCAGGCTATCTTCGCAAAGCCTTCCACGAAGGGTTGGTAATATCCAGCGATTCCTAGGAAACTACTAGTCTCTGTTGACAAGGTCGGGGGCTTCCAATCCATGACTGCCTCGATCTTAGCTAGGTCCACCTGAATTCCCTGAGCTGATACCACGTGATCCAAAAATCCAATCTCCTGTAACCAAAAATCACACTTGCTGAACTTCGGATATAGCTTGTTCTCCCTCAATCTCCACAGCGTTTTCCGCAAGTGTTCTTCATGAGTCTGGAGATCTGGTGAATAGATAAGAATGTCATCGATGAATATGATGACAAACTCGTCTAAGTAATCTATGAAGATGCGATTCACCAGCTGCATAAACACCGCGGGAGCATTCTGAGTCCAAATGGCATGACCACAAACTCGAAGTGCCCATATCGAGTCCGAAATGCCGTTTTCTGTATGTCTTCAGCCTTCACCCGAATTTGGTGGTATCCAAATCGTAGATCAATCTTCGAGAACCACTTAGCCCCTTGAAATTGATCTAGTAATTCATCAATCCTCGGCAATCGGTACCGATTTTTGATAGTCACCTGGTTGAGTCCACGATAGTCAATGCACAATCTCATGCTCCCGTCTTTCTTCTTCACGAACAACACCGGTGAACCCCAAGGTGAAACGCTGGGTTGTATGAATCCCTTCTCCATCAATTCGTTCGATTATTCCTTCAACTCTGTCATTTCTGTCGGTGCCATCCGGTACGGGATTTTGGTGATTGGTTCAGTACCCGGCAGCACATCGACGGTGAAGTCCACCTCTCGGTTTGGCGGTAATATGGTAGATCGTCGGGAAAGACATCAGGAAACTCCCGAGCAATTCGAGTATCCTCTAATTTGCGTTCCAGCTCCTTGGTAACGGTGATGACCACCAAAAATGCTTCATTACCCTTTCTGATCATCTTTTCGGCCTTAAGCGCTGAAATAATGGGTTCGTTGACGGTGCTCATTTTCCCCAAAATTCGAACCCACCGCTTGCATCCATAAACCATATGGTCCTCATCTGACAATCAATCAGAGCTCGGTGCTTCGACAACCAATCCATGCCCAGTATGATGCTATAACCGCCAATCGGTACCACTATGAGATCTGCGGCCAAGTCACGACCGCAGATGTCTAGCGATACACCCCGTAAGGTTCCATGTACCGGAAGAATCTCTTCCGATGGTGTACAAACCGTATTTGCTTTTTCTAAGTTCAAAAAACTGTGGGTAGCTCCAGTATCAAATAACGTATAACACTCAACACCGCAAAGACGAAGAGTACCTGTGATGGCAACATCTTCCTCTTCTCCAGGATCGGCCTCCTCCTCCTGTGCCTCTGCCTCAGCTGCAAGGACATAAACCCTCGGGGCTACTCCAGCTCTCGGTGATGGTCGTGGCGGTCTAACCGCCGCCAAGGCCTCTGCGGTTGTTGTGCAGTTGACCGCAAAGTATCCCAGCTGTTGGCATCGGAAACAGGTTAGTGGTCCCCGGTGTGGTGGTGATGGTGGTAGTGCACCACCAGCGGGTGCTTTCCCCTTGTCTCGTAGCTGGCTGCCCTGACCTGTCTGGCTGATCTTCCCCGGAGGTCGGGTGTCGAAGAATCGCCTATAAGGGCTCTGATCTCGGATGCGCTCCTCCTTCTCCTCCTTTTCTCCTCGCTCTGCCTTCTCTAGCTGGCTGATGTAACGGCTCAGTGTGGGGTACTCGTGGAGCTCTATCTTTCTCTGAAGATAGGGTCGTAGTCCAGCGATGAACTTTTGGATCTTCGTCCTCTCCGTAGGCACCAGATGTCCTGCATAGATCAGCAAACGAATGAACTCCACTTCATATTCGCGGACCGTCATGTTCCCTTGTTGCAGCTGCAAGAATTCCGTAAAGCGGTGTTCCTGGTTCTGGTGACGGTAGTATTTTTGTTCGAACTCCCCTTTGAACTTCTCCCAGGTAAAGCGGTGTCCCTCGGGCATCTCTTGCACCACCTTCTCCCACCAGTGTCGAGCCTGTCTTGCCAGGTGATGGCTCGCTATCGTAGCTCGGTGGCGATGAGGGCACTGGACATATTCCAAGTCTCGAGTTACGGTAACTAGCAACTCTTCTGTAACTTCCGGACTCAGTGAGCCTTCGAAGCGCGGAGTATGCATAGCTCGCAACTCCCGAATGATAGGAAGATAGTCCCTGACCATTGGGTCTGATAACATGTATTTTGGTGATATTTTGGTATAAGATGTCTAGTGAATTTTACTCGGTTTTGCATATTTATAGGCATTCTAGAGTACATTTGGTCTCGATATTGCTTGGTTACTTTCTTTGGTGTCAAAACATGTATTCATGCATAAACGAGAGCAAAAGGAGTGAAAAACATGGACTACGGAACATCACAGACGAAACGAGAACATTTGGAGTTGTTCCAGGAAAAAAACACGAAGCCTAAAAAGTCAGATCTTGAAAGTCCAATAACTTCTACTCCACAAGTCCAAATTGTGCGTTCTACCTATTGGAAAGCTCTCTTCAATATCTACGCATAAACACAAAGATCGCACAAATCCGACATTGGAGCAGAAAGTTATGAGCAAATCTGTCAAGTATGTTCGAGTTGAAGAATCGACACGGACCGTGTTTAATTCGACACGGCCTGTTGTGTCCGTGCTGAAAAAAGTGAAGTTTTGCTCAGAGAATTGACATGGACCGTGTTGTCATTCGACACGGCCGTGTTGATTCAAACTCGCCCGTGTTCAGTCCATGTCTAAAGTGCAGATTTTTAACAGAGAATTGACACGGACCGTGTTGCATTACGGAAAAACTTTCTATTTTGCATCCGGACTTCCGTTTTTAGCAAAGGAAGAAACCGAGCCGCCAAGCCAATAAAGAGAGGACGTCTTAGACTTCAGAAATCATCGAGAGATCACAGGAGAAGCCAGAGAACTCGAGAGAGAATCAAGACGGAGTTTCCCGGGAGCAGAGATTGAAGAATCGTCATCGAGAGATCGCTGCGAGCCTTCTTTATCTGTTTCTATGTTTCTTCTTATTGATTTGAACTCGTTTGTTGTTATGGGTAGTGAGTATTCGTTTCACTGTAGCTAGGGATTTACCCTTGTAGGGATTTGTTTGGTTTTTATTTTCCGAGACTACGTTATCGATACTTGGCGGTTTAATTGAATTTGGTTTATTGCTTTTGATCTTATTGGCATGTTGATTGATTGATCTTAGATTTTGATTGACAACGAGAGTTGGAATTAGATTCGGAAAGAATTCATTGAATGAATTGATTAAGACTATCGAGAGATAGGTTAATCGATTTAGGAACTATGATAGTGATTGTTAATGCGTTTGATATTTTAATCTATTAGGTTGAGAGATCGATAGGTTAAATTATTGGATAGTTGATTTAGGACTTGAGAGAGTCAAATCTGATATTAGAACTTGAGATCCCCGATTAGAGTTCGATATTCGAGATTCTCCATCCTTAGAAACAATCCCTGCGTGTTATGGTTATCCCGAAGCTACGGTGGTTTATCTATATGATTTTACTTAGTTAATTTATTGTTTTATTTTCGATATTCACATACTTCATTCCATATTTACCGATCTAATTCTTGGTTGAGTCTTGTTTCTAGAGTTAACTATTCCCTGTGTGTTCGACCCTGGTACTACACTTGATCCGTATCCTTGCGGTATTCGCTGTATCTAGGTTTTTATCACTTGAGCATTATTTCTATACCTAGATTTGCGTTATCAAGTTTTTGGTGCCGTTGCCGGGGAATAGTTTAGCGCTAGGATAAAGATTCCTTTGAATCTAGATTTTTTTTTCTTTTCTTTTTCTTTTCCCTCGATTTCTTGATCTATTCTTTGTGTTTGTTCTACTTTCCGGTGTGCAGGATTCCGGTGTATGAACAAAAGTTCTGGGCCTGACAACCTAGTACCTCTTAACCCTGAAATCGAGAACTCCACTAAGTGCAATCGAAAGAAGAAACGACAACAAAGAAAGATGGAGGAACGTGCTATAGTTGCAGAGAACAACAATGACACTTATGGGGCATACCTTCAACCTAAGTACATTCAGCAGCTTTCATGCATTCGTCGACCTGACATCGACCGTAACAATTTTGAGTTTCAACCGACATTCATCAATATGCTGAGACCAACAGATTTTTCTCTACTAGGTACACCTCATTTCTCAAACTCATTTTGTTGTAGAGATGCTCTTAAACTTCATGATCCAGGTTGGTAGAAGATCGATAATCTTCGCTCGTTAGATCTATCCGGTAGTTGAGAGAGTTTGGTCAAGCTAAAGACCCTAAACAAGCGCTCCTGGGAGGCAACCCGAGTTCTTAGGTTAGTTGTCTTTTCTTTCTGTTTATTTTTGCATCGGATATTGGTTTGTGTCTCTTATCACCAGGTTGAGTTCTAATGAGGAATTGAGAAGGCGAGGAAGCTAGCTATGCGATAGACGTAGGCAGACTTAAGTGCGAGTGAACGAACATCGCAAGCTAAGTATTCTTTTTCCTTCTTGATTTTCTTCTCTTTTGACTCATTTTATTGGTACCTCTACTAGACGAGAATTGACATCGATGACAGTCACCAGTTCAAGTATGGGGGAGGATTCGTCTAACGCCAAACCATATCCATATAGAGTAGTGTTGCATGCATTTTTCCCTTTTATTTTCACTTTTTAGTTGCATGTGCATATATGATGTTTTAGGATCATATAGTTTTTTGTTATTAGGGCTATGCATTTACATATAGTATTTAGGAAATATAAGATCACGTGCATAAAACCGTTTTGAGTATTGATGTGATGATCTATGGCATGAGAGAGTAGAAACGTCTTGAAAACATTTTGATCCGTTGAACGTGGTTATGTTTTGTTGAATTGATTGTTTGACCTTTAGGATTTTCTAGAATGACTTGTGGAATAGAAATCGTTGATTGGAACCCATGTGACCGATGTTGTCTAGCCAAGTAGAAACGTTTCTATAAGAACCTTTTCCATGTTTGCTGAAATCGGTAAAGTCTTTTATCAAATGCATTTTTATTTCTTTATGTGCAGAAAAAGATAGTGAGCATCTCTATACTCTGCTGTCATTATCTCGTCAACAAAAATCGTTCGAGGACATGAGTGCATCGATTAGATGGTTCGAGTCTAAGTTGTGGGTCGGGTCATCCAATGAATAAAATCGACAAAAAGAGCGATTATGAACCCTTCAATTTCAACCTCCTAGGAACTCGAGATGCTAGCAAAAGAAAAAAAATCTAGCTAGATGAAAGAAAAAAAAAAAGAGAAGAAGAAAAGGAATGAAAACCGAAAGCGTAGACTAGATACGATTAGGTAGAATGGCGTGATAGGTTCGAGAAACATGCTTGGTAGATGATTGAAGTTCTTGGATTGGTTCTTGGTAGCGGTATAGATCCCATAGCAAGGAAAGACTATCCTTCAGAGAGGGAGATCATACTAGATAGACTTGATCATTGTTCACGGGGATCTAGGTCGGATAGAGGTTTCGCTCTCGATTATCATTTTGAGTTATGTCATTGTCTCGCTCTCCTTTCAGACTGCTTTTCATGGAGTATTTGCTCGAGGACGAGCAAAGGTTTAAGTCTGGGGGAGTATGATAACATGTATTTTGGTGATATTTTGGTATAAGATGTCTAGTGCATTTAACTCGGTTTTGCATATTTATAGACATTCTAGAGTACATTTGGTCTCGATATTGCTTGATTGCTTTCTTTGGTGTCAAAACAGGTATTCATGCATAAAAGAGAGCAAAAGGAGTGGAAAACATGGACTACGGAACATCACAGACGAAACGAGAACATTTGGAGTTGTTCCGGGAAAAAAACACGAAGCCTAAAAAGTCAGATCTTGCAAGTCCAATAACTTCCACTCTACAAGTCCAAATTGTGCGTTATTTACCTCATTAGAAAGCTCTCTTCAATATCTACGCATAGACATCAAGATCGCACCAATCCGACATTGGAGCAGAAAGTTATGAGCAAATCTGTCAAGCATGTTCGAGTTGAAAAATCGACACAGACCGTGTTGAATTCGACACGGCCGTGTTGATTCAAACTCGCCCGTGTTTAATCCATGTCTAAAGTTCAGATTCTTAAAGAAGAATTCACACGGACCGTGTTGCATTCGACACGGCGTGTTGCATTACGGGAAAACTTCCTATATTGCATCCGGACTTCCGTTTTCAGCAAAGGAAGAAACTGAGCCGCCAAGCCAATAAAGAGAGGACGTCTTAGACTTCAGAAATCATTAAGAGATCACAGGAGAAGCCAGAGAACTCGAGAGAGAATCAAGACAGAGTTTTCTGGGAGCAGAGATTGAAGAATCGTCGTCGAGAGATCGCTGCGAGTCTTCTTTATCTGTTTCTATGTTTCTTCTTATTGATTTGAACTCGTTTTTTGTTATGGGTAGTGAGTAGTCGTTTCACTGTAGTTAGGGATTTAACCTTGTAGAGATTTATTTGGTTTCTATTTTCCGAGACTACGTTATCGATACTCGGCGGTTTAATTGAATTGAGTTTATTGCTTTTGATCTTCTTGGCCTGTTGATTGATTGATCTTAGATTCTGATTGACAACGAGAGTTGGAATTAGATTCAGAAAGAATTCATTGAATGAATTGATTAAGACTATTGAGAGATAGGTTAATTGATTTAGGAACTGTGATAGTGATTGTTAATGCGTTTGATATTTTAATCTATTAGGTTGAGAGATTGATAGGTTAAATTATTGGATAGTGGATTTAAGACTTGATAGAGTCAAATCTGATATTAGAACTTGAGATCCCCGATTAGAGGTCGATATTCGTAGATTCTTCATCCTTAGAAACAATCCCTGCCATTATGGTTATCCCGAAACTATGGTGGTTTATCTATATGAATTATCTTAGTTAATTTATTGCTTTATTTTCGATATTCACATACTTCATTCCATATTTACTGATCTAATTCTTGGTTGAATCTTGTTTCTAGAGTTAAATATTTCTTGTGTTCGACCCTGGTACTAGAGTTGATCTGTATCCTTGCGGTATTCACTGTATCTAGGTTTTTATCACTTTAGCATTATTTCTATACCTAGATTTGCGTTATTAAGGTCCACAGGTGGTGGTGGAAGTAAGTCTTCCCCCTTGGCTTCAGTTCTCCCGTCGGTGGTGGAGGTGGGATATGCGCCCTCAG